TTATCTGGATGTTTAAATAAGAACTGAGCAGGAAAAGTTACACCTCCTTGGTAGGTGGGAACGCAATAGTGGCGGGGGATAGGAGCTTGTAGAAAGAGAAAATACAAGCACAGAACACAGCATTTGGAGATTCCACTTCCTCAGAACTTTGCTCCTGCCAGCAGCACATCTACATTTGCTCAACCCCTTCTTTGCATGAAAGGCGGGTACCCCAGGAAGTCTATGTGTCGTCTGAGTAAGTTTCATCATGCAGAATATTTGCAATGAGTTTTATTTATGCAGGCATAAATACATCAAGGGGTAAAGAAGGCATGCTCTCCACTCCCAGAACATCACAAGCAGCCCCCTCACAACTCCACAAAGAATGTAGTCCAGGCCTCAGCAGCCATACATGATCTAGACCAAGAAACCATGGACATCAAGAACCGCCCAAAGGAGATCCAGGTTACATATACACTGTTTGAGGCCTCCCTCTTTAAATCCTACAATTGACAGAGAGTCAACTAGAAACAGAAAACCCTTAAGCATAGAACAAGAACAAATGGATCCTTACTTACAACTGTTTGACCCATGACCTATGATTTTCTGACTTTACAATGGTGTGAAAACAATACACGTTCAGTAGAAACCGTACTTTGAGTGCCTATACAACCAACCAGTTTTTCACGTTCCATATAGTATTCAATTAAGTTACATGAGATATGCGATGTTTTAACACAAAATAGGCTCTTTGTTATATGATTTTTCCCTCATTATAAGCTAATGTTCTGAGCACATTTAAGGTAGGTCAGGCTGAGCTATGATGTCAGTAGGTTAGGTGTATTAAATGCATTTTCCACTTACGGTATTTTTAACTTATGAGGGGTTTATAAGGATGTAACCCCATTGTAAATTAAGAAGCATCTCTACCAACTTTATCTCAATTATGACTTCAGCCATGGAGTCAGACTGCTGAATCGCACAGTGTAACTCTCGAAGCCTCAGGGAAAGGAGCAGGAAAACCAACGCCATCTTCCTTTCGGGTTTCTGTGACGTCAATGGGCAGTGCAAGAAACCACTTCCACGCCACAAGTGTCCTCTACCTGACCAGCCGACTTGGATATGAAATTAAGTGATAGGGACTCAGAGGCCGGAGAAAATATAGAAATGCATTTTGTGGCTTCCCAAATATAGTTCAAGATGAGTCCCTCGGGACTTCATTTTCCTTCTCCCTCAGTCTGTGCCTGGCCCTCAGCCCAAAGCCAGGTACCCTGAATGGGTTCTTGGATGGTCTATATCTGGTTCTTCCTGCTGGTTTCCCAGCTGCTCATCTTCCAATTCAGAAACCCTTTGGGTGCTACATCTTATCACTTGAATGAAGCCAGGTGGTCTCCACCTCCCTAGGTGGATACTGATATCCCCTCAGTCACTGTGACTTGGAGTCTGACACAGTCAGTTTACCATACACTTCCTCAGTTGGAGAGCTATCTTTAAAAAAATGACTTTGCCAAGGTGATTACTGAACTAAAAGCAGTATCATTTTTGTTAAAGTCTATGCTTATGCCTAAGGTATTTCTCAAATCTTTAAAATGCTAATCTGTGCATGCAGTTATCACAATGTGAACAAAGATATATGAGTGAACAGCTCTTCCCAAAGCAAGATCTCTGCCAACCACCAAATGCTGAATCCACAGCACCTTGCAATGCCTATTCCATAGCATCCAACTCTTTTTAGGGACTGTGAGGCAAGGAAGGCTCTAAAACTCACCACCCTCCTAGCCAACACAGTTGCTGATGGAAGCACAAATGTCCCCAGACTCTCTGCGTGTTTTACTAGTCCTGTGACCAGAAAAAACTCTTGTCCAAACTGCTTTTTCTAAACATCAAAGCAACAAAAGGGTGACCCAAGGTTACCCCAAACACATTCCTTACCCCTTTAGATCTTATCTGTTGCCCTGTGGTCTCTGCTGCAGGAGGCCACCTCCTGGGTGGCCCTAGGCCCATTGCCACTCTTTTTCTACCCTGGGTTGTTTCAAACAAACTCAGGAAGCCTTAAACAAGAGGCAGATGGTGAGGAAGAGAAAGTCTGTAAGTAACACCTCTCTATTACATAATGCTAAGCTCGAAACCTCCTAGAGTCAGCCTTGAAAATACCTAATGGCCTGTTGCTTTAGAGTAAACATGAATTTGAAATAGGCAAAGAGAGGATTATAATTATTTCATTTGATGGCCAGTGAACAACCATGTTAGTAAATAACATACCAACATATTAGTACATTACAGGTTGGGATAGGACCATATATTAGTAAATTACAGGTTGGTGTAGTAAATTTACAGGTTGTAAATTACAGGTTATTGATTCAATCAACACTCATGTAACATTCAGTACCTACCAAGCACTGAGCTAGGTCCTGTAGGACACATTTTCTAACCTCACCTTAGACCAGATCACTACAGAAATCACTAGTGGTACTCACTCATATCCATTTCTCCCTTTTCAGCACAAGAATACTGAATTGTGATTAAATAGGGTCATATGCCCAGTCCTGCCCAAAGTGATGGAACTCACCTCTGGGTGGGATCACGTAATTGCTAGAGCAAGACCCTGCAGCATTTCCTTCCCAATGCTGCAGTGATCTTGCAAGCTCACATCAAGACCAAGACTCCATCAGTTTGGATCCTTGAGTGACTATGATCAGCCGGGTCCAACTGCCAACCACACTGGACACAGCATGGGAAGGAAAGAAACTGTATTTAGCCATGGGGACTTGGAGGGATTTGTTACTGCAGCATAGCCTCACCTATCTTGCTGGTGCATCGCTGTTTAAAAAAGAGAAACACCTGCAAAAGCATCCCATCAATTTGTTTTCTAAATCAGATAATAAGGAAAAGCAACATTTGTTTCAAAATTCAACTTCATCAGGAACTGAACACTCTCTTGAAAAGCAGAAGGCATGGACAGTATAGGCCTGTTCAAACAACCTGAAGGAATTAGAAATGAAAACAGAATGACCAACAGCAATGAAAAAATCAAACTGTATGTAATTCAACTTAAAAGGCTACAATGAGAAGGCCACCTTCTGACAACAGGAACAGCCGTTTATGAAGCAGTGAGCTCCTCAATGAAAGAGGTATTCAAGTGGAGGCTGGATAACCATATTTTCTCTCCTCAGAAGTCCCATCCCACCTCTCTTGAGCTTCCACTGAACTTAATTAGAATCAGGTCTTTATTTCTCCATCCCCCCATGGGAGTTCACTTTTGGGTCTCTCCCTACACCCACCCCAACCCCTTGAGTCCATTATCTATCACAGAGTCCATTATCTATCAGGTGCCAATAAACATCTGCTAAATGAATAAATGAGCACGGTAGAAAGGAAGCAGGCACTGGAGGCAAAGATCAATCTAATAACCTCTAGGGAGCCTCCAGACTAAAGCTAAACACACTACTGCACACATCTGTGGGTGGGAAGCCTCCTTCTTATAAAATAAAAAATAAGTGTCGATGAACACTTTATTATGATTTATTACTGTACACAATTTAAAACCACAACGAACCCTAACCCTGCATCGTGGCTCTCTTTGTTCTTGGACGTGCATTTACATGTGCAGGCTGCTGTTCTGTCATGTGGAATTTTGTGTGTGAAGTGTTTATTCTTTCTATTTAAACACATACACACACACACACACACACACACACACCCTTGTTTCTATTGCATTATTGTATTCCCTATTATCTCATCACATGGTTTCTCTTCTTGCAGCAAGAGTACACACCCTGCGTTATTGCTGACATAAAAATTACTTGTCAAAAATACCTCTATCTGAGCATCATATTACTCATCTGTTTTTTGCAAAGCACTACTGGCCTTTGTTTCAACTGGGACTAGATAACTCAACTACTTTTCCTAGTGACTCCTGAATGCTTGTAGAAGGATAAAGGCTAGTGTCACCTGTGTTTTTAAAGTCACCTTCCAAAACAAAACTACCTTAGAGGTGAATAATAAATCAAGTTTTTAACTTCATTTTTCAAGGGATTTGGAGGAAAATGGTGAAGAGTGAATCTGTCACAGATACCAAGGTGTTACTGCAGTGTAAAAGAGAGTATACCAGGAGCCTTTGGCCCTCAGCAATCTGTCTTCCTACAAGAAAAAATCGAAAGTCCATTTCCATGACCATTCTTACTCCCTGCTACTAGTGTAGGATGCGCAGGACTCTGCCCTCTAGGAGAAAACGCTAATACCGGGGTATCCTGCTAAGTCTGAAGGTTATGTTTTTTCATTGCATTCTTATCAAGATAACCCCAGATCTGGTCAGGCTGACATTAACACAGAACTATCCTTGGAAAGAAAAGACCAGGTCAGAGTTTTCGGAAAAGCCCCAAAAACCTAAGATAAAATGCAGAATGAGTCTACTGGTTCATGGCTATCTAAAAGGAAACTTCACTCAAGCTGTTTTCTCTGTTCTCTTTCTGCTGCTCCCAACAACCCTCCCTTCCACCTCCCGGTACTCACTGCTACCACATCTCTCTTAATATCGCAAACACTATTACAACGAAGGGACAGGAGACAGTATTTCATAAGGTCACTGCATTTGACCAGCGCTCAATTAGAGCACTAGGCAAAAGTATAATCAGTCTTACAATGATACCTTTTCAACAAAGGATACCCCACCTCTAGACTGAAGCCTAAATATGCTACCACAGATAAGAAAGAAGGCATCTATGGAAACCCCACATTCAGATACAACTGCCTGTGTATTAATTATTCCCATCAAAGGAAACCAGGTGGGATTTCTGCAATCCCAAATTCACCCTGCCCCTGCCTCCAATGGCTTCTTCAAAGGGAAGGCATAAAGTCATTTGCAATTTCTTTCTTGGAACCAGGAGTTTTAGCAGCCCCCAAACCGTCTCACAGATAGGAACGATGTTGATGAAGAAACCACCCAGACAGCCCCGTACCAGCACTGTCAGCCCAAAAGACCCAGAGACACCCAGGCGGCTACCCAGATCCTGGGGGGTTACCTGAATCTGTCACCGAGTCTCTTTCACCCCCTTCTGCGTGATGACATCAAGTGGAAATGGTATGCGTTTGGGAGGCAAGAGGCTGACAGGCAGGAAACACAATTGAGACTGAGCTTTCTTCAGCCTGCAGTGAAATACATGCAGGAAGGGTTAGATACGCGCCGCGGAGAAGGAAATCCAAGCGCCCTCTCGGGCCGGCGGGACTGGAGCGGGTGCTCTAGGGAGGTGGAACAAGGCGGCTGAGGTGTGGAGGACTGGCGGCCGAAAAGGGGCGTCGCGGCTTCTAACAGTCTCTATAGGGTAAATAACCACCTCCCCCTCCTCCGCAGTCTCCCCCGCCCACGAGTTCCCCTCTGGTGGCAGAGCGTCTACCAGCAACAGTAAGCCCCAGCGGGTGGAAAATAGCATCTTGGGGCAAAGACACACTGGCAAAATCTGCTAGGCAACCCGGTCATATGGGAATGCGGGACGCCTAGTCACCCGCGCAGACAGACACACAGCGCAGCAATCGAAAGCATCTTTCTTTCGTTTGCCCCTGTTCGCCACCTCATCAAGTCACCGTCACTCTGTTTTGGCGATGTCTCTACTCTCTCTAGACGCGGGCAGCGCTCCCCACGCCATGCCTCCACCCCTGGCGGGATCGGGGACCGCCGCTTCCCGAGCAGCGCCCCACCAGTCCAGCAGGCTTTGTCCTGCCGCTGTCCTTCCAGGAGCAAGCGCCCCAGGCGCGTGAGTCTGCACAAAAGACCCCCAATATCTGACCCGTCACGGTGCCCTCTCCTACCGGGAGGGGCCCGGGGGCAACTTCTAGGGGTGGAGAAGGCGCGAGACAAGGGAACTGGGAGGGGACGAGCCGGCGTGTGTGCGGGCAGGGGCGCAGCTGGGGCGAGCGCGCACGCACGTGCACCCCCCCAGGGGCGCGCGCGGCGCGGGCACGAGGCGAGCTCCCTCGGACCAGAGCTCCAGGGGGCAACCGAGGACTCGGCCGAGCCGCCGGCAGCGCCGCTCCCCGCCGCGGCCGCCCGCCCAACTTCACCAGCGCTCGGGAGACACGCAACTCTCGGGACCACCTCCCCCGCGCCCCGCCGGACCCCGCGCTCCCCTCCCCGGGACTCTTGCGGCCCCGCCACCCCATCCGCCGTCCAGAAGATCCCCCCAGTTACAGCAGGCGGCAGCTGCCCTTTCCCCCTTCCCCGGCTCCGGCGCGGCCGCCGTGGGGGCGCAGACATCCCCGCGCGCCCCTCTGTCTGCCCCGGACCCCGAACGGGCAGAGAAGAGAAACAAACCGAAACTCACCGACCTTGCTCCGCGACGGGCTCGGGCGCTTCTCTACAGAGGCGGCGGCGGCGGCGACAGCATCGCCGGGTAGTCCCGGCGCGCCCGCCCCGCTCAGCCAGACGCGCGCCCCGGGCCGGCGGCAGCAGCTCCTCCCGCCGCGAGCCACCGGGCGGGCGCGAACAGCGCGGCGGCGGCGCCTGCAGCCCCAGCTCCGGCCCCGCCCGGCCCTTCGTGCGGCGCCCCCACCTGCACAGCCGCCCTCCGCGTTCGCAGTCGGACACCGCCGCCAGGCGCTCGGCACCGAGCGGGAGCTTTTTGTGTCACTGAGACTCCGGCACCGAAGGGGGTTGGGGGAGAGGCTGGGCTCCGCTCCCCGCGGCACCGCCCTCCCCGGCGGCTCCACCCCCTCCTCCCCGCCCCCAGCCCGCCGGGCCCGGGACTGCTGCCCGTCCGTCCCGCGTCGCCCACCTCCCGTGGTGAGGGGCTGCCCAACCTCCCTCGCACGCTCCCTCGGCTTTGCCCCCGGGGCCCACCCTCGGCCAGGACCTCGACGCCGTCTCTCCACCGGGCGAAAGCGGCACCTGAGCTGGCGGCAGGTGTGCAAGGAGGCCGAGGCCGCCGGGAGCAGGCGCGAGGCCGAGGTGGGGGCCCGGGCCGCCGTGGGCGGGTGGGGGGTCCCCAGTCTGCGCCTCGGACCTGGACAGCGAGAGCGGGGAGCTGAGATTCTCAGGTTTCCAGAAGCTGCCCTGCATCCCTGTCACCGCAGGTACTTTTTGGCTGCCCCTAAAAGTTCACGTAGCCCAGCCAGGGTGGGGCCCCGCTTTGCAAACAGGCCCGAATCGACACTCCACTACCTGGGTCCCTCGAATGGGGGACAAGAAGCAGGGGAGTAAGGAGATGCAAGTCCTAGGGGTTATGTGGAAGCGCGAACCCTCGGAAACCTCGGGGCTCACCCTATTCCACACCTTAAAAGGGACGTGCTTAGAATGTCTTGTTCCCCGTAGAAAATCTCCCGCCTCATGAGTTACCGCGAAATAGGAGAATGAAGGAGAAAGGCCCTTGGTAAAAGATGGTTCCCTGCCCTTTGGCGCCTTTTGAAAGGATTTACCTGCAGAATGAAAACCTAAAACTCTTCTAGAGCTCTGGTGACGGTCACCCGGCGGACGTTCCCGGGTCTCCCCCATCAGGGCTCAGCTGAGTGTGATCTCCACTGTTCCCGCCGTACTTGGAAAGTACTCCCATTTTCACTCCCCCGAGTGGCTTATTGAAATGCTTCTGCCAAGATTTCTTTCTTTTTTGGGGAGGGTGGGGGGCGGGGACGGAGTCTCACCCAGGCTGGAGTGCAATGGTGCGATTTCCGCTCAAGTGATTCTCGTGCCTCAGCCTCCCGAGTAGCTGGGATTACAGGCCCGCACCACACCCCCGGCTAATTTTCGTACTTTTTGGTAAAGACGGGGTTTCCCCATGTTGGCTAGGCTGGTGTCCTACTCCTGACCTCAGGTGATCCTCCTGCTTTGGCCTCCCAAAGTGCTGGGATTACAGTCGTGAGCCACCGCGCCCGGCCTGATTTTTTTTTTTTTTTTTTTTTTTTAAGAGGAAGCCCTATAAACCAATGGGGACTCTAGGTAACCTACTATAAAAATCACAGTGTAACTCAGTGCACCTTGTCATGTTCCACAATTACATCCTGTTGATGGGGTTTCCAAAAGCACTGTCCTTAAGCACATAAAGAAAATTGATCATCTAGAAACAGATAAAGCTTATGAGTATCAGTTGTCTCTAGGATCCCAATTAAAACACGCCTCCTACAGCCATCTGACTGATCCTCATCCCTTTGTTCCCCCAAGCTAAAACCTCTATTGTACACCTGAAAGGAATGAAAGCTGTATGCATATTTTAGAAGCCTAAGGTAATCTTGAAGTAGAAGACTTCAAGAGTCTTTATGTTAAGCCTCAACTTTAGGGCAGGAAGGAGACTTTTTTTTTTTAAAGACAGGGTCCTGCTGTGTTGCCTAGGCTGGAAAGTGGTGGCTGAAATCCTGGCTCACTACAAGTGTGATCTCCTAGACTCAAGCATCCTCCTGCCTCAGCCTCCCAAGTAGCTGGGGGACTACAGGAGTGCCAACATGCCCAGCCAAGTTTTGTACTTTTTTATTTTTATAGATTGGGGTCTCTCTTTGCTGCTCAGGCTTGGTTTTGATCCTGGCCTCAAACCGTCTGCCTGCCTCAACCTCCCAAAGTGCTGGAATTGCAGGAGTGAGCCACCATGCCCAGCTCCAGCACTTTGGGAGGCTGAGTCAGGTGGATCACAAGGTCAGGAGTTCGAGACCAACCTGGCCAAGATGGTGAAACTCCATCTCTACTAAAAATACAAAAATTAGCCAGGTGTGGTGGTAGGCACCTGTAATCTCAGCTACTCAGGAGGCTGAAGCAGGAGAATCGCTTGAATTCAGGAGGTGGAGGTTGCAGTGAGCCGAGATCACACCACTGCACTCTAGCCTGCGTAACAGAGTAAGACTCCATCGAGAGAGAGAGAGAGAGAGAGAGAGAGAGAGAGAGAGAGAAAGAAAGAGAAACTCTGATGTTGGCAAGGAGCTGGAATAAGGAAGGTGAGTTACAATATCCCAAGATTTTGCTAGGAAAATTCAGCCTAGAAATGTTACGATTATACAAGAGTGACCTTAAAGACTACTCTTCAGAAGCTAATTTGAGGGATCAGTAATTGTTCCAAAATTTTTCAACTCTTTTATTCAGCTGCTTTTGAAACAATTCTTGGGGGATTCAAGCATTCAGCATGGTGCGGAGTAACCACTCCCATCCTTAGTCTTAGGCTTCCACCGGCTGGGATTTTAATTCACAGAGCATCATGGGTGTTCTGCCTTCTGTCCAGTCTTGTAAAGCTGTCACACAGAGAAGGTTAATTAACTGGGGCAGACTGGGATAGGCCAGTTCTTAAGGCTGGTCGGAGGCCAGCACTGGGGCGGGCAGAAACAGTTTGAGTCAGAGGAGGAACAGGCAACAACACGTCCCAGCAGAGTCTTCAGTGAGACATTCCAGGATCAAGGCCACTAGGACCAGGCAGTGTTTAGAGCTTCGCGCCAGCAGGCAGCATGGTCAGATAATCTGGCATTGCCCTGGAGACTGGGCACTGCCCATGTGTGGGACAGAGAGAAAATCAAGGCTGCATCCCAGGTGTTAAAAAACTAGGGCCATCAGGATGGGACCCCAGCACTGGAGACCGAGATAAAGATCCACATATTCATGAATTCATACAAAAAAATGAGTATGGACTGTGTGCCAGAAACCTGGCCCTAGGATTAGGATAGAGAAAATACCCCAAATTCCTGCTATCACAGAACTTAACATTCTAATGGAGGAAGGAGATAATACCCCAACTGTCAACGAAAAGAGTTGATCTCTGTGAAATATTTTAAGAGATTTATACTGAGCTAATTATGTGTGACCATGGCCCATGACACAGCCCTCAGGAAGTCCTGAGAACATGTGCCCCAGGTGGTTGGGGTGCAGCTTGGTTTTATACATTTTAGGAAGGCATGAGACATCAATCAAATACATTTAAGAAATATTGATCCAGAAAGGCGGAACAACTCAAAGCAGAGGCTTCCAGGCTGTAGGTGAATTTAAACATTTTCTGGTTGACAATTGGTAGTTTGTGTAAAGACCTGGGATAGATAGAGAAAGTTCCGGTTAAGATAAAGATTGTGGAGACCAAAGTTCTTCTGAAGTGTTAGAGCAGCTGCCCTTAGAGATGATAGGTGACAAATGTTTCCTATTCAGATCTTAGTCAATCTCTTTAGGATAGAAAGGGTCTGAAAGACAAATATCTAGCTATGTTAATAAAGATTCTTTACAGATGCAAATTTTCCTCCACAAAGAACAGCTTTGCAGGGCCATTTCAAAATATGGCAAAGAAGACCAGGCACGGTGACTCAGGCCTATACTCCCAGCACTTTGGGAGGCTGAGACAGGCCGATCACCTGAAGTCGGGAGTTTGAGACCAGCTGACCAACATGGAGAAATCTTGTCTCTACTAAAAATACAAAATTAGCCAGCCATGGTGATACATGCCTATAATCCCAGCTACTTGGGAGGCTGAGGCAGGAGAATTGCTTGAGCCTGGGAGGCAGAGGTTGCAGTGAGCCGAGACTGCACCACTGCACTCCAGCCTCGGCAACAAGAGCAAAACTCCATCTCAACGCCAAAAAAAAAAAAGGACAAAGAAACATGTTTTGGTGTAGAATATTTTGATTTTCTTCTTTGTCTCATAATGTTATGCCAGAGTCAGGCTGGAAAGTAAATCATGATATATAGAGTTAAATCAAACCCACCTGGGCCAGGCACAGTGGCTCACACCTGTAATCCCAGCACTTTGGGAGGCCGAGGTGGGTGGATCATGAGGTAAGGAGTTCAAGACCAGCCTGGCCAAGATGGTAAAACCCCATCTCTACTAAAAATACAAAAATTAGTCAGGTGTGGTGGCAGGTGCCTGTAGTCCCAGGTACTCGGGAGGCTGAGGCAGAGAACTGCTTGAACCCCGGAGGCAGAGGTTACAGTGAGCTGAGATCATGCCATTGCACTCCAGCCTGCCTGATAGAGTGAGACTCCATTAAAAAAATAAATAAATAAAATAAAATAAATAAAACTGGTGAGAAATTTATGATTTGTAGAGCATGACTCCCCAGACCCTTAGATAGGAATTTGGGCAAGATAAAGAAAAAAAAAATCAGAGTTTAGTCCTCACAACATAACAAATAAATTGTATGTTGGAGAGTGAAAAGGTAAGGGAGAAGACGAAGTGGGGAGGGGCATCATGAAATCCGTGTGCTGGGGGACACTCTAGATCAGTGCCCAGGGAGGGACTCCCTGGGGAGGTATTTTCCGAGCTGAGAACTGCAGGGAAAAAGGGAACGTCTCATGCCAGTAAATAGGGAAAGCCTGTTCCCATCCTCAGAGGGCACAAGTGCAGGGTGTCCGCACTTCCCCATGGGCAAAGGTCGAGATGCTGGAACTGGGTTACAAGGTCAATGAGATCTGTAATGTTGATTGATGCTGAGTCACCTGAGTTTGTATTAGAGCTGCTTACATTGGGGCTGGGATGAGTTCTTCATCTTTGTACCTGTACATGGAGCACAGGTGCCCAATAAATGTTTATTGAGCTGAGCCCTTAAATCTCCAAGAACCTGGCATGGAGCTGAGATTAATGTCATCCCATAATACCCAGGGCAGCCCTTCTGTCAGGGATGACACTTTCACAAAAGAATGTGATGATCTCTTCAGTCGCTTTTCATTACT